AGTAAATGACCTTACGTGCATGACCTGTACTCCGTGGCGCTCGTTCTTATCACATTAAGAGTTGCAAACAAGGACGATTGGTAACTTAGTAACCCTAGAATGATGCATCGAATATCTTTGTCTATCCAATCTTTTATTACTTCCAATCCTTCTCTAAATGCACAACCGAAAAAAAGCTAATTAGCGATATTCAGAGCTATGCATGTCCAAATCATCAGGTCAAAATAATGAAAAATGCGCGACATGGCAACTTGTACTAGCACTGTTACTGCTCTTCAAAACGTAAAAGCCGTATCCAGTCACTCTCTGCGTGCGAGACTGAACACTTTAAGTTTCATTGCTTTCACTGTTTTCGTGAGACCTGTTCATATTGTGTATTTTATATAAACAGTCGATCCTGTTTAATATGGGAGGTGCTTGGAATTGAGCTTGCTGTGAAGTGGGCTATGATTTGTTTTTATCTACATTTTCTGTATATACATTACAAAATCGACAACGCTGGTGTTCATTTGCGTGACGAGTTCTGTTCTGCTTGAAACCACTGTGATTGGCATCACAACTGAATAAGTTATCGAAGGGCCTTAACTGCCAAACTACTAAGGTGGTCGTTCACCCTCAGGAGCGGCCGCCGTGATGAGCGACATGGACATCAGCTTCTCCTCGGGCCACGGCGGCGACGGCGAGGACCTCGTCACCAACTCGTCCTTCCTCCTGAACCGCCCTGACGCCATCAACTTTCTCCTGAGTTCGCCGGACTCCTCCAGCGACGGCTCCACGTGCAGACAGCAGGACACTTCCTCCCGAGGGTCAGCTGCTGCGCCAGCGCCGGCGTCTACGAGGTCCGAGGCCATGTCCGTCGCAGTGGCCACCTTCGTCCAGCGGCTCTTCCCTTCCCTGGTGGTCAAGACCCTGCCGCCGTGGCTGGCCTCCTTCTGCCCCCACATCGCCAGGCGCATCGAGCGCGCGTCGCCGCAGGAGACGGAGTACGTGTTGAAGCGCCTCCGGCGGCACATGCGCATCAACGAGGACGGCGCGCTGAGCATGTCGCTCGTGGCCATGTCCATCCTGCGGCTCCACCCCGAGGTGGTGGAGAGCGTCGCCAGGAGGCTCACGGACGCCAAGGCCATCCGCCTGCCGCTGCTCCTCCGGGAGCGGCTGTCCTGCGGCAAGTTCGTGCCCATGGAGCACGTGCTGTACGGCGAGTGCATGATGGAGGGCACAGTGTGTCACGTGGATGCGCAGGGCAAGGACGTGCCCCCGGAGCCCTACCCGCTAAACGTCAAGAAGCAGCTGCCTCCGCCGGACTTCGTGGAGGCGACGACGCGGAGCGACGTACTGCGCGGACTGACGACGCACGGCATGTGCCTCGCACGGCGGTTCCCTCTGCTGGCCGCCTCCATGCACGGCCTCGTGCATCACCTGTGGGAGCTCATGTTCACCGAGAAGATGTCGGCGGCGACCGGCATACAGCTGTACAACGCCTACTTCGAGGAGTTCGAGAAGCAGCTGTCGCTCCTGACGGTGCTGTCGATGGACAGGTTCCCCGAGTGGCTGCTGGAGAGGGTGGCGCCCCTGGAGCCCAAGAGCGCCAGCGACCAGGCGGCGGGGACGCCGTAGGCCTGGGCCCGAAGGCAAAGTATCTGTATCATTGCATCTCATGCTTCTCATCCAGCTTTAAAATTGTGCTCATTTTATAGTTTATATACGTATGCTATATCGGAAATACATTCATGGAGTAAAATTAGTAATGACTTTCATTACACCTGGCTCTTTATAGGTTTATCAAGCGCAGCCTTGGGACTCAACACATACTATGCTGACCTGCAAGAAAAGTTATTGATATTCTTCCTTGCATTACACTTTTAGTACTCAAGAGCCACTGAGTTGTAGGCCTATGCGCTTTGTCCATCATGTCGGTATCTACATAAGAGTAAAATAAATAACTGGAGTAACATATAACACCTTTGCCCGAGCTGAATCACTTTGATACAATGATATATGATGTCTTTGGTCGAAAATAGATAACAGATCAACTTGCCTAAACCTCTGGGGAACAAACCTCTGGGGAAACAAGAAAAGGTGAATTGCAGCAATGAACCAATCGAACAAACCACTAAGACTAAGAACCCTGCAGCAACGTAAGAACACATAATAACAATAAGATAATGAATAAATGCAAACAAAGGCCGAACTAGTAAAAAAAAAAAAGAAAAACACAGCAGATCCTCACCCCGAGTGCGAAGAGGTGCGCCAACAGCACGCGAGGAGGGCCAGGAGCACGCCCAGCAACAGGAGGACGGGCGTCGGGGCACGGGCGCTGCTGCTGTTGTCGTCGTCGGAGGGGAGGCCGTACCACACCCGCAGGGACTCCCGCACCAGCTGGGCGTCTCGGGAGTCGACGGGGACGCTGGTGGTGCCCTCCGAGTTCGCGGAGGCGGGATCGTTCGGCCTGCGGGGGGAGGGAGGCTTAGGACTCGCGTGCTTCCTACTCTGCTGGGTC